CAATGCAGAGAAAAATTTTGTATTATCCATCGTTGAGAACGAAATAACGATAAATAATTTATTATAATATACGGCCTCTTATTAAAAATATACTATATATCTATTTACAAAATTTAACAATAGTTTTTTGAGCGATGGATTGGCTTATAAAAATTAAATACAATTTTTCTTGTTGAAAAAAATAAAAAGGAAGGAAGAAAAAAAAAACGTAATGCAAAACAATCGAATGGTAGCATCTCTTATCACAGAAATGTCTCGTGCGTGTGCCGCTCGCATTTATAATTTGAGATTCGGCGAAAAGACAAAATAAATACGATCATTTGATTTGATTTTTTTCCTTTTTTTTCTTTTTTTTTTTTTTCGAAAAAAAAAAACCATACTATCTCACGCGAATAATATAAAAAAAAATGTCATGAATCAAATTTCATTGACATATGAGAATCGCATCGTCTAATTAACGTTTATTATATTAATGATTTTTTTTGTTTGTTCGTAAAATAAATCATGCGAAAATAATTGCAAATTAAAAATAATGAATAAAAGATGAGACATTCTTTTTTAAAAATAAACATATTTGCTAAATACTACGTTAATTTGATAATTTGCTCACAAAGCGTGTATTCTCAGAGAAACGTTCGTTGACAGCATCTTGTTGTATGTCCATGATTATTAAATATAAATATAAATATAAATATATATATGTATGTATATATATATATATATATATATATGTAACATATATATATTTATAAATATTTACATATTTGTATAATGCAGACGTTAAAAAGAAATGGTAAATACTATTTTTAAAAAGTACACGGAGAAGAAACAATAAAATTACAAAGAACAAAAAACAAAAGAAGAAAAGAAAAGAATATTACTATATAGTATCTATTCCTTTCTAATGGATATCTCTCTTAAATGCCAATACACACACACACAAAATACATAAAATATATTACTATGCGCTCGGTTATTTACAAGCAGTCTTTGCGTTTCCTGCATAATATATACCGGTACGGAGAAAGACCATTTCTTTTTTCTTTCTTTCCTATTTTTTTTTCTTTTTGTTAACGAAGAAAAATAGAGTCGCCTTATAAAAATCTTAGCAAGAGTATACACAGGGATAGAAATAATAATATATATATATGGAAAAGATGTTTTTTTTAACGCATTTCCAGTTACGTTGATGTATCATCGTTGTAATGGAGAACAAATATGGCGGCTCTTTTACTTAAGAACGAAAATAATGTTTTTCAACGAAAGATGACAATATTTTTTCATAAGTTTTCCTTTTTTTTTAAAAAAAAAAAAGGAACAATCAAGAATAAAATATAAAGAAAATAATATATATATATTATGGCAATGATTATGGCGCAAGACTTAAAGAAATGTCAAACAAACAAAAAATAAAGATGGCACAACAAAAATGTACTTCTCCTACCGGTTTCCCCATCCAAAATATCATTTTCATCAATATGGCACTCGACTCTTTTTCAGCACGATCTAATTCTTTCCCCGTTTCTTTTTCTCTCTTTATTTCTATTAATATATATTTTCCATTTTATTTTTACAATTATCTCTTTCACATGACATAAATTCTCTCTCTCTCTCTCTCTCGGCATGCATATAATACTTTTTTTTTTTTATTATTATATTTTATTTTATTTTTATTTCCAATCGTAGAAAAATGCAATCCTAATGTCCTCCCGTTTTTGTTCATATATATATATTTTTTTTTTCATCGTTTTTTATTACAAATGAGATTAGAAGTATAATTCCTTGATCTCATATAATATATATGCGTGTAAAAAGGAAAATATTATTCTCCTACTCTTTTCATCTTTGTTTTTTTTTCTCTCTCTTTCTTTCTCTTTCTCTTTCTTCTTCTTCTTTATCTTTCCCCTCTTTCTATCCTTAGAATACGATAATTTAACAGAAATGAGGAATAAAAAATGTTTTAAACTTGAAACATTAATGGTGGCAAAAGTCGTAAAATTAAAAATATTTACGCCCGGAGAGTGTGGTGGTAACGTTCGTTTATTTTCTTCGACAAATTGATGCAACGATTATAATACGAGGATAATGACACGATACATCCTCGAGGAATGACTATACGAAACGAGTGGTTTGGCTCGTGTTGAAGGGATACGCATGCAGGGATATATACATACACACACATACACACGTTTAGATAGTTGAATAAATTTGTCAAGTAAACGAAGGAACGGCCCCAGCCCTACAGGACACGTTTATTTTCAATAGATAAAATATTATTTCACTGGACGAGTGACGTGAAACGAGAAGAGGATGGACACATTACTTTTATCTCGTTCTCTCATCATCTTTATTTTCATTTTTACCTTTTTTTTCTTTTCTCCCTTGTCGAATAGGAGAAAAAACTGAACAAAAGTAATATGTCGAATGAATTACTGGAAGGGGTAATGAACAAAATTAAATAATAAAAAATACGCGTATTTTAAAATGAAACAACACGATAAACGACGAATCGGAATGCGATTAACGAGCAAACAAGTTTTATCAATAATCGTCAATAATATTAAGAAAAAAAAAAAAACAGAGAGAAATATAAAATAGGACGATAAAATATATTTGTAACGATGAGAAAAATGTCGTGTTTAATAAAAAAAAAAACCCCCAAACACAAACAAACAATAAGAAAGAAGAAGAAGAAGAATAATAAAAAAGTAATCCAAAGAAAGATTATATTATCCGTTCGCATAAATTGTTAGCGATGAAAAGAAGAGGTGGTCAAAGGGCGAGAGGGGAGGAAAGAAAAGCCCTATAGTAAACGGAAGAAGGGTGGTGGTGGTGGTGGTGGTGTTTTCTCGTTTCACGATCGGCGAGCAAGGTGATTTCTTCGGTGCTCTCCATTAAGAGGAGGTATTCGTATACCGGCTTCTTCTTCTTCTTCTTCGTCTTCGTTAAAAGAGAGTTTGTTCCGAAGTGCGTCGTGAGAGTAAGAAAGGGAAAGAAAATAAAATAAAATAAAATAAAAGAAAAGGAAGGAAAATAAAGTAAGAAATATCCGGGGGCGCGACGAACTGCTGCTTCTACCCATACCATACTATACCATACCACCATACATGTACCATCCCATATCCCATCCCCTTGAGAGGAGAATTTTACGACATTGCTTTATGGTTTCTCATTTTCGCTCTTTCTCTTTTCCTTCTCTTGGTCCCCATCCTTTGCTAATCTCACTTCCTCTTACTCTCTCTCTCTCTCTCTCTCTCTCTCTCTATATTCGCAAACAACCACCACCTCCCCACTTTTTCTTCTTCGACGAAAACGACAGGGGCCCTTGCAACTTCGCCGATAATAACGAACGGAGAAGAGCAGGTCCCAGAAGTTGCCGAGGCTCAGGTGCAACGGTGGCTTCTGCTACTTTTGAGAGAGAAGGCAACAGTACAAAAAAAAAAAAAAAGTAAGAAAGAAAGAGAGGCCACGACTCTTTCTCGCGTAAACGTACTACCACCATACATACGTGGTGCGAGGAGCCGACAAGCCATGGGCTCTCGAATACCTTTCTCGATCAAGGCCGTAATTTGAGGTTGAAACTTCGTGCCGCTCCTACGATTATCCTTATATACCGTGATATTACACGAGAATAAGGAGTGCTTGATAGTAAAAGCCAAATTCTTTTTTCATCTTTCTTCCTTTTCTTTTTTTTTCTTTTTTTTTTTTTTCATGATCGAACACACATACCAAAAACCTCCGAATCGATCCGGGGGGATCATTGATCGGATATGAGATCTTATTTTGATTTCTTTTTTTCTTTTATTTCTCCCTTATGCAGAACGGCCGCGGCCGCCGATTTTTAAACGACGACGACGAGGAGGAGAATCTTCCACACGAGTTTCTCTTTTCTTTTTTTTTTCTCTCTCAAACTTTCGTCCATTTCTTTTTTTCTTTTCCCCATTATTATTATTATCATCATCATTATCATTATCATTACATTTTTTTTCTTTTTTTCATTTCGACTACTTCTTCTTCATCATCTTTTTTCTTTGTTGCTGATGCTGCTGTTTCTTCCTCTTCTTCCTTCTTCCTTCTTCCTTCTTCTCGTCATCTTCGTTACAACCTTCTGAGGTTTCGCTTGCTCTGTCTGGAACCAACGACGAGCCGCTTATTTCTCTTGGTTGGCGTGGCCAAGAGGGGCGTCTTGCAAGGACCTGTATGGGGCCTCGAAGAACACGACGTGCAAAACTCCATCGAGCAACCCTGCCTCGAGCACGTTCCCACGTTCTTTTCACCGTCGACGTGGCAAGGAAATGAACATCTCGGACATGGTAGTAGATGCTCCCATGGTTCGAGTGTACGACTAGCCTAAAAAAACAAAAATAATATGTCAAATTATATTTTTTTTCAATAATTTTATCATTAAAATTCAATACCCTCAATTAAACTTTTTTTTTATCGACCGTTCGATAGAAGAAAATTAACGACAATCGGTAAGGTAGGAAATGTTGTCTATTCCTGTCGATAGAGTTGAAAACTACTATTACGACTGTTATCTTTGCTAGATCGGTATGTTGAAAATCTTCTTTTTTTTTTTTTTAAATAAGAAATCACGAAATATTCTTAATTTTATAATAACCAATATTGAAAAAGTGTTTCAAAGTAGATAAATCAAATATATTTTAAATATTTTATATATATACACTCTGACGCGCGTGTGCATAAGTATTATACATATTTAAATATATAGATGTAAACGAGAGGGGAGCAAAAAACCATGAAAGCGATGAATCGATTTAACAATGATGTTGTTGTAAAGGGAAGAAATTTCATTGGCCATTTTTGTATTCCATAATAATTAATGGGATTAGTTACGGCGTGTTGCACCTGCGCGTGCAAACGATCGTACTCGTTTTCTCGGAGTACAAGATTATAAGAAGAAGAAGAAGAAGAAGGTTTTGCCAGGTCGCGTGTTTCGTGCCTAACGAACGTGTAACATTTTAATGTGCTCTTAAAGGATCGATTATCGAGGTTGTTAAAAACTATTTCTTTTCAATAGGTTTATACAAGTGGAGAAATAATTGTATTTATGATATATATATATATATAGTATCTTTCTTTCGTGTGTTAGGCAAATAATAAAAAATATTCCTGCACGCTATGCAAAAAGTTATCTCAAAGGATTGAACCGGTAAACGTTGGCTGGCAAATGTTCGTAATCTGCAGTACATACGGTTCTTCTTAGAAATTGATATAAGAAAGAAAATATTGCAGCTTGTCGATTGAAAAAAACGTAGCAAAAGGTGCAGAGATAAAGAAAAAGGGAAGTGCAGATGTGTTAACAAACCTTAACGCGCACAACCCCTTTTTTTTTTATTTTTTATCTTTTCTTCGTATCATCGTTACACTTACACTTTTACAAAAATCTAACGAATGATTTTTAACGAAGAAAATATCAATCAAATTTCAGAGCCCCTTTTTTTACATATAAACCAAAAAAGAAAAAAAAAAAACAAATCTTTCCAGATTTACAAGGAATGAATTTAAGAGAAGGAACCAACAGATTCGAAAGCTGTCCTAACGAAGTGAAATTCAAGGATGATATATACAATGGAATGGTAGGGGGTTGCTTGCTTGCTTATATTCGTAGGAATAATAAAAGTCCCCCCACCCCTACTACCCCTTCTCGTCTTCATCCTGTTCTTCCTTAGACATACTAAAAAGAAGAAGAAGAAAAAAACAAACATAACCGAATTAAGTACCTCGGAGAATTTATACAGTTGGAAGGAAATTTACAGAAAAGGGTAAGTAAGTAAGTAAGTAAGTAAGTAAGTAAGTAAGTAAGTAAGTACTTGCGGTAAAGAGAACCGTAGAAGAAAATTATCGTCTTCTTCGTACACATCTTCTCGTTCGCACTTGGTAATGGTAACCCTTTTACAAGTTAATGATGATAGTTATCATCGAAGTTAGAAAATATGAGAAAAACGATCGTTCCGCGTCGTGTTGAATTTCTAAGAAAAAAGATCGATTATCATCATCATTATTATTATTATTATTATTATTCCGACACAAAATTTTGTTTTTTTTCTTTCTATACTCAATCTTTATCTATATCGTGAATAAAATTTATTTCGATTGTTTCCACATATACGCGTAATCTCATTAACATATATAATATCCCTTTATCCCTTTGTTCTATTTTCTTCTTCGATAAGAGAATGAAAAAGAAATAAAGAGAGAGAGAGAGAGAGAGAGACAAACACTAGCAACCAATCAACATTGAGCGTAAAAAAAGAACCGAGAGAGATTGTATCGAGGAAAATTGTAACTTGGGTTGTGTAAATAACATGATATAGAAGAGGAAGTAGCAAGCGATAAAAGAAGACCCACAAACTGTTCATATATTTTAAATTTCTTTTTTTTTTCTCTCTCTCTCTTTTCTCCTTACAGAGAGGAAAAAACGACTGCCTAGTAACCGGGTTGAAAGAGAGAGAGAGAGAGAGCAAATGGTTATCAAGTAGAAGAGGGAAATGTAGAAAGAAAAAACTGGGGAGATGTGTGTATGTATGTATGTGTGTGTGTATGTTGTAAATCCTTACGTTTGTGCACGTGAATATTCGTATATGTGTGTACTATGTATACGTGTAGGCGTAGAGACACAATGTAGCATACATTTCTCTACTAGAGACCCTTTCTTCATATATTACATAGGGAAAGGTTCCTAGGTGGCGTTTATACCTGCTATTTACCGAACTCTTTCAAAATTCTACGTTCTCTCACACACGTGTCTACTCTGCTGTTATGCTGCTTTGTGACCGAGGGAACAAAGTAGAAAATAAAGAAGAATTCTACGACGGTAGAATTCATCTGGAAAAATTATTTCATTTCCGTTGGTATTATTATTATTATTATTATTATTATTATTATTATTATTATTATTGTGTCTCTTTAAAAATGAAATAGAATTAATGAATGAATCTCTCTACGTAAGAAGATATTGAATAAAAAGAAGTTTTTTTTTTTTTAAATATATTATAATGAACACAATATGTTAATAATAAAAAAAAAAAAAAAAAAGAGGAATAATTTTCAATTGTTCTATATTTCGATTGATCAACACTAACGCAATCCCACAGTAGCACAACGCGTTTTTCCCATGATGCATGCATGCGCGTACGCGTGGCTGTTGCTATGGTTTCTGATGGTGTTCCTCTTCCCAAAATGGAGGCCAATTGAAAGAAGTTATTTTCACTAAAATATTGATTTCTTTTTTTTTTGATACATTATAATAAACGACAAATATGTATTTTTCATATATATCAATATTACAAATAAAATATATATATGAGTATTATAAAAAAAACATAATATAAATTTCAAAATGGTAGATAAATAATATTGTTACCCCCTCCCCATTTTATATATTAATAAAACATGCGATAATTAATTAGGTAGATGAGATAAGTGTGCATATCACTTCCTTCCTGGCCCAGCTTCCTTATGTTTCTTTTGCGAGAATGTTACATAGTATACATTTTGTTTTTTTCTTTATTATTATTATTCTTCTTCATCATCATCTTCTTTATACCTAATTTTATTCTCACAATCAAAAAATATAATCGTAAATATTTTTTTACAATTAAATCTCTTTTTTTTTCTCCTTTTCTTTGTTTATAGTTGCCTTTCAACGATATATCTACGATCTACATTTAAAAAAAGGACCCATCAAACTTGATCAAATTCAAAAACGTTTATCCCGATTTCGCGTGTAATCGGGCAAACATCTTGCTACAAATTTAAACCGTTTATATAAAAAAACAAAAAATAAAAAACCCTTTTCCCTTTTGAGCCATCGCATCGTATTAAGGCATCCTACGTAATTCGATATCTCTATTTAAATTTCCTCCGTATTGGATTACCTTTACTCTCTAATTTCGTATTACGATCCACTCGACTTGACCCGTTCTCTAAAGAAAATTCAGATTATTCATATTCTTTCTATTCACCCTTTATTACTCAATCCTACTACCCTTTTTATTTATTTCTATCGATTCCGTTACTAAAAGAATTTCAAAAGAATACAAAGAATAATAATAATAATAATAATAATGTAGTAATAATGTATAGTGTTTTGAATATTAAAAAAATGTATGGCTGCTTAAATAAAAAAAAACACTAAACTTTAGAGATTAAGTTGCTGAAGAAGTCCCAATAAAGAAACGAAACGTCCAACTAATCAAAACGAAATTCTAGTTCTTTTGAATGTCCAAATTCCTTAAGATACCTATTTATTAATAATAATAATAATAATAATAATAATAATAATAATTATAATCATCATCGTTTAATTTAGTTTTAAATTAACGTTATTATCATAAATAAAAATAAAATAATTCTTTTATCGTTAGCGGTCAAGTTCTAATTCGATTTTAATATAATAAACGTTTAAGGATTTACAGGATGTTATATTATCTCGAAACCACTATCACCATCGCGAACTATTTAATACTCGTCACACTGAAATCACGTGTTTTGGAAAAACGAGTTTGCAGTAAAAATAACCACCACATTCGTATAAACATATTTCCTTCAACCCTTCTCTTTCATCTTTCATCTTTCATCACCTTTTATTAATCCCCTTCCCTAAGTTGCATTGAAATGAGAAAATATACTAACTATCGAATAGAAGGATAATCCTTTTTTACCATAAACATTTAATCGTTTAACATTCGAAGGATCTTTAAAGGATCTTAACGAACTAACGAAGGAAGAAAAAAATAAAAATACAAATGGTGGTAGGTACACGTTTGCCATATGGCAACCCTTTTTCTTTATTCCTTTCCTTCCTTGCATCTATTTTCCTTGGAAGAAAAAGATTAAAAAAAGAGAAAGAGAGAGAAAGTGCAAAGATTAATGGCAATGTTGAAGAAGACGTGCCTTTTTTTTTTTTTTTATTGTTCATTTTCGCTTTGTGAACTTCTCCGACGATCTTCTCTAACTTAGATGTCGGTAGGTCGTTATCGAACAAAGCAATACTCGTTACGTCTCATTACTCAAGAAAATTGTCCGATGTTAAAACCCATCGTCGTACGTACCGATTGAACAGGTGCCGGCAGGGTGGGTGAGTTAATCTTGACCTTCGTAATACCTCTTTTATCTACGACTTGACCCTTCCCCCCCCCCTGTCCCTTACTCACTCACTCATTCACTCTCTTTCTTTCTTTCTCTTTTTTTCTTTCGTTCAATCACCAATTCTCACCCAGATAAGAGACCAGTGAAAACCTCAAGGTCATCTTAGAAAAGACCATCATGATGAGTTTAATGTGTTACTCAAAGGAAAAGGTACAAAGAATGAAGTGGGCTTAAGT